GGACTCTGGCACTACTTACAAAGGCTCAGTTCCCAATGGCACTGAATATGTCAGTGCCAAGGAGGATGCCAGTACCACGGTTAGGGGAATAGGCAGAGCCTGGACATTGTTCTGCACTAATGGTAATCCAGCACCAACAGGCATAAAATATCACTGGCTGATGCATACATCTCAGGTGTTGTAGATACCAAAACAGTAACATGCATTGCAGCAGAAGTCTATGCTTTTGAAGGTCTTGGCCATGAAGTCTATGCTATTGAAGGTCTTGACTGGCCATGAGGTGTTGGAGTTGACAACTCTGCATTGCTTGAATGTGGGAATATGGGGAAGAGCCTCACGGGAGCTGGTTTAGCTCTAACCTCACTAGTGGTCTTATTTGAAGAAGATGACAATGAAGACGATGATGACTTTTTCTGGTTGAAGAGGCTGAGGTGCTGGATGACTTCTGCTGATTGCATGATAGAGAATGATGTCTTCTTCCTGGCTCTTTTTGACATGGGAAGGCCACAAAGTCTGGCGGTGTGCTTAGAGAGTCGAATCTGAATCCCTGTATGGCCAAGTGGCTGGGTTCCAAATGGGGACACATAGCTGCTTTCACCAGAACATCTCAAAGTAAAACTGCCTTCAACTTCTTTGATCTGGTTTTAAGCCCCCTACAAATAGGGTATTTATGCCTAATGTGTCCTTCCCACTTCAAGCAGTGGGAGTGAGAATCGGTGACTGTCATAGATTTGCTACAGTCAAACAGCACTTAAATCCCAAGGATTAAGACATGCCCTGGTATTGAAAATAAAATTTGAAGAACAAGATAAAAACAAGAAAATATTTGAAAATGAGTACCACTATCTAAACTACAGCGATACTAAACCATTTACAATAAAAGAATGCTAAAAAGATTTATAATGGGAAAGTATGTGAGACGCTTACACTGTCCATCTATGGGTGGCAAGGAGGAACTGAGAGGGTTAGGGCAGCTCTGCCCATTTATGCCCTTAGCTACAAGCATGAGTGTGCAGCAAAAGTGCATGTACCACCTCGACAGGTACCACTATGGGAATATGTTCTCTGCCTTTGATGAACTAGTACACACACAACCAAAGTGGAATGGACAGGTGCAAGCACTTCAAGATGCAGGGACTACAGTGGACCACAAACTGAATGAGTCAAAAGTGTGATGCTGTTGTGGAAAGGGCAAATGTCATTCTAGGAAGTATTAATAGGAATGTCATATGTAAAACAAGAAAGGTAAATGTTCCACCCTAACTACTGTCTACATAGTTAGAAAGTTAAGTCCCGAAACAGGTTACTTTGGGAGGCTGTGTAATCCCCATCATTGGAGGTTTTAAGAACAGGTTACCTGTCAGGGATTATCTAGGAATACTTAATCCTGCCTCAATGCAGGGGGATGGACTAGACAACCTCTCAAGTTCCTTTCCAGCCCTATGACTGTATGCTCCCAGCTCACCAAAGTGCACCTGGTCTTACGTGTTTTAATTAAAATATAAACACCTACCTTTGCAAATTGGTGGTTGTGACCATTCTCCATCTTCACAAATTACATAATTTGATTCCATACTTTCAAATCCTTCCTGACATTTATATTGCACTCTAGCACCAGGCAGATACCTTCCCTCCTTATTATTTACAATATCAGCATTGGTAACTTCAGGTGGAGCGCTACATGTTGCATCTGAAAAGGAGAGAGACAAATAAACATATTAGTAGTGAAACTCTATTAATGTAGTATCTTATTTTCATGAAATATGTTATGTTCCATCAAAAAGTGCACTTACATAAGTGGAGGTTATTTGCTTGTAATTGAAGTTCTTTGAGATATTGGAAGTTCTTTGCATATTTGCACATGTGGGGTATTGTGCTGCCTAATTATGCTTAATGGTTGAACCTTCTCCAAGCAGCATCTGTTAAAGCGTTTATGCACACTCCTTCTATCCCTTCCCTCTCTGTCTCTGAACATTCTGAGGATGAAGCTATATAAGGGATCATGGCACTCTGTCACCTCAGTTCCTTTCACAGCCAACCCAGACATACAGTGTAAAAGGACCCTGAGAATGAGGGGAAAGTGGGTGGGAAGTGTGACTATGAATAGCCATTTCAAAAAACTCTGTTTTACAAGTAAGTAACCTTCATTTCTTCTTCCAGTGGCTCTGCATATCCCCACTTATGGGTAGTTTGAAAAGCAATGAGGAAAATAAACTGGAGGACATCACAGAACACTGCTCTACCAAATCTAGTATCTGCCCTAGAAGCCTAATTGAGAACATAATGATTAGTAAAAGTGTGCACAGAAGTCCACGTTGCAACTTTGCCAGTTGAAAGAAAAGGGACTTGCTTAAGGCAAGCAAAAGACACTACCACATGGAATGAGATGGAAGTATCCTAGGTACAAGAATTTGTTAACCTGTAACATTCAACAATTCATTATTTAATCCATCTAGAAATAGTCTAGAGAGACAAAGTCTGACCCATGAAACTTTTAGCATAAAACACAAATAACCTAGATTATTTTCAAAACCTTTTAATTCTATTTAAATAATATCCAAGAACTCTTCTTGAATCCAAAGTACATAAAGCAGATTTCCCCTGCTTAGTATGTGGCCTTGGAAAAAATGTCAGGAAATTGTCTGACTTATGTGAAATTCAGAAAGTCATTTTGGCAAAAGCCTGGGATCGAGTGTAAGAACCACCTTATCTTTATGAAAAGACTTAAAGGGCGAATCAGCCATCAAGGCCTTTAATTCACTCATCCTTCTGGCTGGTGACATGGCAATAATGAATGCTGCCTTAAGATATCAAAAATAAAAAATACTTAGCCAAGGGTTCAAACGGTGGTTTCATAAATGTAGATAAAACCAGCTTAAGACTCCAAGAAGGGACAGGATCCCTCAAAGATCATACATATTAAATACCTTCCTTCTCAAATGTATTATCCATATTATGTCCGAACTGCAATCTAGTATCAACCAAAATGTGGTAAGCTATAATAGCTGCAAAATGAACTTTCAAAGATTAATTAGATAACCCTTCAGTTTTTAAGTATATTAAATCATCTACAACATACAGTAGCGGATTTGACATGGCACCATGGCGCCAGGCCCACGGTCCGAAAGGGTCCAGGGAAGCCGCTCTTCCCCGCTCTTTAGTGCTGCCGGCGCTGGGCTCCTGCTGTGTACTTATTGGGTTCCGGGAAGTGCTAAAGGATCCCCCCCCCAGCCTAAGGGGAGGACCCACAGGGCCTAAAACCCAAATGATTACGGGGGACAACTAATGAAAAAACAGGGACAGGAGTGCGGTCAAAGGGTCAAAAGAAGGGAACCTGACGGGGACACCGAGCAGAGAACCCCGGACAGCGCCCACTGCTCCTCAAAGGTGTCAAGGGAGCCAGTGGACGCCGCCCAGAGGAACTCTGCCCGGATACGTGAACGGACAGAGGATCGGAAACAGGCCCCACAGTCACAGGAACCTCCATCGGCCAACCTCCTCTCCCTGGTTTTATAGATGGCTGTGTAGCAAGGCAGGCTCTGCAGCAGCAGAGAAGCTCCTCCCACAGTGCTGCATGCCTGTCCCGCCCCTCCCTGTTGCCGATCAGCTGTAGCCTGTCTCCCAGCAGCAGGAGGGAGGAGAGGGGGAAGGGCTGAGATCCGGCTAGCTAGCCGCTCCTGGGAGGAGGAGAGGCGGGACCGGGCCTTGGGGAAGGGGGGGAATGGGGGAATCATTGCAGAGCTACCAATCAAGGAAGTTTTTTCTGGCTCTGAGTTGCTGATCAGCATGGCTGGTCACTGGTGTAGTGGGCAGTGCTGTTTAGGTGTTTTTTGGCCACCAGCCAATCAGCGAGGGGAACTCTGCTCCTGGAGCAGGGGCTGAGCGACCCCACAGCCAGCCCCGCCTCCTTCTACTACTTGCTGCTTCTCGTGGGCAGCAGGCTGCTTTCTGTGGCTCTAGTGCAGCTGAGCAGCTCCCAGCCTTGCTTCAACCTCTCACCCAACTAAAGGCAGCCAGTAGACTGACTGTTTTGTCCTCGGGTCTAGAATTGCTGTTGGTGGGCCTGCCAGTGGGATGTGGCAGTGGGTGAAATGCACATAGGCAATCACTCAAAAAGAACTCATCTAAACACTTTTCAAGGCACTAAGAATGGAGAAAAACCCAGATCTGAATGGACTGGAGTGGATTATTTCCATCTGGTACAGAGGTTGGAAGGAACTGAGGTGATAAAGGGCACTGTGCCCCCTTATATAGCTTTGCACTCAGAACATGTGGAGATGCTGCGGAGAGGGGTAGTTAAGGATGTGTGTGAGCGCTCTAAAGGACACTGCTTGAAGAAGGTTCTACAGGCACCACAGGCGACACAATACCCCATGGTTGAGAATACGCAGAGACCAAAGGGTGTGAGATGAACTTCCAACATCATGAAAATGGAGATGTAAGGACCCTATTTCTGAACCACTTACCCAGACAAAATACTTCTTGACTGTAATGACTAAAAGGAGAGAAAAGACTGGGGAACGGAGCTCTATGTAATGACAAGTGCATCCTGTGAATTGTAATATGTTAAAAGGACAGAAGGTAAGCACCACTTTTATGATTTTAAAACATATTATAGATTACTATTCTTAACTGCTTGCAAACAAGATTTATTGGCCTGCCAATAGGTTTTTTTTTTCCTTTTGGCAAACCCTGATTCCTCCCAATCCCCTCTGTATTTGAAATTATCAGTGTGTGAATTGGCTATTTCTTGTTTCTGCATCAACATTCTCAGTGATGTCAGCCCAGACATGAAACAGTCCAGACATGAAATCTTGTTAAATTATGTTCCTTCTTGTTCCCCTCAGCAGCAAGGGGAAAAACTTTGTCAGTGTCTATTTTAATTCAAAGTCATCTATCTAATCTATTTGTTCTAGCCGTCAGACCCATCAGTGTGGTATCTCAGTGCCAATATTAATTATTATTATTATTAAGAAAAGATTAACTAGGGTTCTTTAAAGTTAGATCAAGTCACTCATTTTACCTTTGCATACAGGGGTTTTGGTCCACTTCCCAGCACTACATGTAACATCTGGTGATCCACTTATAATAAAACCAGAATGGCATTGATAACGTACTGTTTCACCAGGCTCATAACTATCCTTCACTCTACCTTCAGTTTGAGCATTGGAAACATCTGGAACACCTTGGCATGGTGTATCTGAAAAGATAGACATAGAAGAGTAAAATGAGCAAAACCCTTCCACAAACCACCGTATCTAATTAAGCCCTTTGTAACACAGTATATAACCACAAAAAACCCACTAATTTTAAATAAAGGTTGCAACCAGAACCTACAAACATGCAGTAAGATGTAGGTGGGCAATGAAACTTACAACATGAGCACTGATAAAAATCTGTCCAAAAATTAAACAAACACCAGAGCTAAATACACTAGGAGTTCAGTTGCTGATAACATTTAGTTTCTGCCTCTGCGTACTGTGGTGAGGCCGAACAATAGAACTCTGTATTGGAATCTCTGTACTGTGAATCTCAAGAGAACCTTCTGTGGGTGGATGGATGTCTATAGGAAAATAGGTGTCCTGCATATAAGAGCCATAAACCACATGCCACTTTCTAGTGATGGTATGATGGCTGCTAAAGTGACCATATGAAACTTGGGCTTGCAGATGAAGTGATTCAGGCTTGGAGGTCCAGAATTGGTCTCCTGCCCGAATGGGATGCATCGGGTGTACAGCAGGAGGCAAAGTGATTGGCAGTTCTCTAGGTGCATTCAGAAATATCACTTCTGGGAAGACTGAACATATGATGTTAAATGCTGTGAAGGCGGTCCTGGAGGATGTGATCGCTGGGCCTTCTGTCACTTGTGAGGTGGTTTGTAGGGTCGTTGGAGGAACTGGGGAGTCCTGAACAGTTTTGCAGGTTTCAGATGGCAGAATTTTCACTTGGGTGCAGGTGTATAGATACCCATCAATCATAGTGCAGCTCTGGAAACATTGAGGGAGTGGAGGGAATCATCGATCTTCTGATTAAACAGGTGAGACTCATTGAAAGGGAGGTCCTTTATGGTATTTTATACCTCCCTGGGGAAAACAGATGAATGCAGCTACAATTCCCTCCTAAATACAATTTCCGTAGCCATCGTATGCGAAGAGGTATCAGCCACATCCACAGCAGATGGAAGCACCATTCTCGCACCAGTTTGCTCTCCTTCAGGATAGCCTGGAAACAGGACCAATCTTGCTGGGGGCATTTGTCAGCAAAGTCCTCCAATTTACTATAATTGAAAAAGTCATATTTGACCAATAAGGCCTGGTAGTTTGAGATCCAGAACTGAAGGCTAGCCAACAAGAAGACCTTGCAATCCAGAAGGTCCAGCCGCCTGCCCTCCTTGTCTGCCAGGATGGAGAGTGCATGCTGCTGTCTGGCCCTCTCCATTCCTTCTTGGATCATGAGCAAATTGGGTAAGGGTGAGAGAACAGAAACTCAGAGGCCTTAGCTGGGACATAGTATCTCCTTTAAGTCAACTGGGGATAGGTGCACAAGTGGCCACAGTATGTCCAACAGTTCAAGCCAGCTGATTGGTAGAGCCACCTGGTCGGTACCGAGGCATGAAGGATGTCCAGAAGCTGATGCTGTTTGTCCTGTACTTCCTCCAGTGGAATGTAAAGGTCCTCAGATATCCTGAAAAGGAGGTCCTAGAATTAGCAAAAGTCATCTGGAGGCAAGGGGGAGTCAAGGTCACAGCTGCATCTGGAGGACGACGGGAATCATTCCTATTCTGGCAGTACTGCTAGAAATGGATTAAGCAGTTCATCCTCCAAAACTGGTTCTGAATGCCTACTTGATGATGCCTGCAGTGGGGATAGGGGTGAACCCCTTTCGTGCTGAACAGGAAGGCTCCAAAGATGGATATTGAAGCCAGGACCCCCAGTGCAGCCAACAGGACCGATCCAGCGGATGCTGTGGAGGGCCTCATGGAGTGGGATACCAGTGGCTAGAGGAGGACACCTTCATGAAGCGGGTGGTCCTTTAGGGTACTCGTAGTGGCAGTAGGGGATGGGCTGCCCTTGCGCTCCATCCAAATCCTCAGATGATGAGAACTCAGATCCCAGTATCGATGCCACTGGAGCTGGCAGAACCATATAAACCATAGGGGAATGGCTGGAAGCACCACTTGACTGAGGCAAGTTCTGGATTGGACCTGTCCTTCCCCAGGCACAGATGGCAGAGGAAGGCATGGAGAACTCGGTTCCCCAAGGGTGAAGAGTTCATGTCGCTCCAGGTCCCATCTGTAACCTCCCCGGTGTTAGTGGCACATGCTCCAGAGCCAGAGAACTGTCCCAAAAGAAGTTACTGACCTTGTGCAATAATGATGGTTCTTCGAAATGTGTGTCCCTATGGGTGCTCCACTGTAGGTATGTCTGCATCCCTGTGCTGCTAATCAGAGAACTTTGGTAACAGTGTCCGTTCAGCCCACACATGCGCTGCTCCTCGCCTGCTATAAGGCTAGACAGCATGCGCAGATGAAGCGTTCTCAGTTCCTTCTCTACTGCAGAGTCAAAGACAAGAACTACAAAGCAGAGGGGAGGAGGGTGGGTCATGGAGCACCCAGAGGGACACACATCTCAAAGAACCATCGTTACTGCACAAGGCGAGTAACTTCTTATTCTTCTTTGAGTAGTATCCCTATGGTTGCTCCACTGTAGGTGACTCCCGAGCAGTGCCCACCACTGGAGGTTGGGGCTTCAGAATCAAGTCTGTCATGGTTTATAGTACCGTGGCACCGAATCTGGCATCTGCAGCCGAATCCCCAGGATGGCATAGTATTCTGCAAACGTGTGTGCAGATGCCCAGGTAACTGCTCTGCAGATTTCTGGCACAGGGATAACCCTAGAGAAGGCGACAGAAGAGGAGACCAATCTCACAGAGTGCATGCGTATTGAAGATGGAGGTATTCTATAACGCATCTGGTAACAGAGTTCGATACAGGTCGAGACCCATTTGTAGAGTCTGAGCTGAAATCACTGTACCTTTTGACCTATCTGCAATGGAGAGGAAGAGTCTCAGATATTTTCTAAAAGCTCTTGTCCTGTCCAAATAGAAGTCCAAGGCTCTACTCGCGTCAAGTGTATGGAGGATGGCTTCCCTATTATCCTGATGAGGTTTGGGATAAAAGATTGGAAGCTGAATAAACTGATTCATATGAAATGTGGAAGTCACTTTGGGAGTGAACTTTGGATGTGGTCTAAGAGTGACTTTGTCAGGGAAAAACACAGTGAAGGAGGGATGCACCATCAGAGCCGCTATCTCCCCTATCCTTCTGGCTGAGATGATGGCGATCAGGAACACCATCTTCATGGGAAGGTGAGTTAATGAACAAGTGGTCAGGGGTTCAAATGGCAGTCTAGTCAGTCCTTTTAACACTAGGTTGAGATCTCATTGAGGAGTGGGAAGTCTGGGTTGGGGAAAAGGTTCGCTATGCCTTTGATAAACCTCTTTGTAGTTGGATGGGAGAAGATTGAGTATCCTTCTACCTGCTGGTGGAAGGTTGCAGTTGCTGCTAGTTGAACTGTTAGTGAACTAACAGAGTCCCAATTTCTTAAGAGTCAACAGGTAGTCCAGGATTACCGGCAGGGTGGCTGTGTTCAGGGTGATGCCTTTGGCCTGGCACCAGATTTGGAATCTTTTCCAGTTTTGTAGGTAGGTTTGACAAGTAGCTCTTTTCCCAGTGTGTAATAACACCTCCTGTACCTCCTCAGAGCAAGATGTCTATATGTGCTGGAACCATGAAGGAGCCAGGCTTTGAGCTGCAGAATCTGCATATCTTGTTCTGCAATAGAAGGTAAGGAGTGATTGGAAGAGTCATCAGTGCACATAGTGGACCAGCTGTGACAGGTAAGGGTATCACATCTGTCTGGGCCAGGTGGGAGCAGTCAGTATGATGTTTGCTTTTTCTCTTTTCACTTTCAACAGGATTTTCAGTATTCGAGGGAATGGGGAAAAGGGGTAAAGAAGACCCTTGTCCCATGGAAGGAGGAGAGCATCTCCCATGGAATATTGTCTGATCCCCACTCTGGAGCAGTACTGTGAACATTTCCTGTTCTGGTAAGCAGCAAACAAGTCTATTGTCAGAATATGTTGTTGAGAACCACCAAATCCATTTCCAATTTGTGGTTGTGTGGGAATTTGTGGCTGAGACTGTCCGCCGTCATGTTGTGTACTCCTGGTAGGTAGGCCGCTGATAACATGACATTTTGTGAAATGCACCAGTTCCATAATTTTAGTGCTTCCATGCACAGGGAGGGTGATCTGGTGCCTCCTTGTTGGTTTATGTAATACATGCAGGCCATATTGTCCATCTTGACTTTTGTGTTCGTGTCTTTGATCAGTGGGAGGAAGTGAGCAAACGCGTTTCTGACTGCTCTGAGTTCGAGCAGGTTGATGTGAAGGCACGTCTCGGATGGAAACCATTTGTGTCCTGCATGGTGATACTGTTGAGATATGCGCCCAATCCAATGAGGGGTGCATCAGTGGTCAGAAGTAATGATGTTAGAAGGCTGAACAAAAGGGATTCCCATACAGACATTTACTAGGTCCTTCCACCAGTCCAAGGATTGCTTGACCTTGGTGGGCATCGATAGTAGTTTATGTTGTCTCTGTTCGGCCTGTAAACCGAACCAAATAGAACCATGCTTGGAAGCATCTCATGCATAGTCTGGCATGAGCTATAACGTTGTGCCCGTGGCCATATGCCCCATGAGCTGGAGGCAATGTCTGGCCAAAACTGTGGGGCTGGATTGCACTGTATCAGCATGGAGAGACTAAATAATCTGTGATGTGGGAGGAGCACTCTCGCCTGGATGGAGTAGAAGTTGGCTCCTGTGAATTCTAACCTCTATTAATGTCAATTAATGTTAATGTCAATTTTTGTGCTTTGATTTGTAGGCCCAGATTCTGGAACAGGTCCAGTGTGGTCTGGGTGACCTGCTGGGCTTGGGCAAAGGAATGTGCCCTGAGAAGGCAATCGTCCAGGTAAGGCTAAATCATGATGCCCTGAGAGCGTAAGTGGGCTGCCACTACCAAAAGGACCTTGGAGAACATTGGGAGCCAATGAGAGGCCAAAACAGAGTACTCTGTATTGGTAGTGGTCTTGGTCTAGTGTGAACCTGAGGTAACATAAGTGACTCAGTATAATCAAAATGTGGAAGTATGCACCTTGGAAGTCAAGAGCCAATCTCCTTTCTCTAATGCTGGAAAAATCATTGATAAAGTGACCATCTTGAACTTCTGAGCCCTGATAAATTTGTTGAGCACTCTGAGGTCCAGTATGGGTCTCCAATCCCCTTTTTTCTTCAGTATCAGGAAGTAACGAGAGCAGAAGCCTCTGCCTCTTAGATGTGTGGGCACTGGCTCTATCACTCCTACGCTGAGGTGATGGTTTATCTCCTGATGTAGCAGGCTCTCATGAGAAGGGTTCCTGAAGAGGGACGGGGAAGGGCGTTTGAAAGGGAGGAGAAATGGATGTGGTATCCATCCTGGATGATCTCCAGCACCAATTTGTCAGAGGTTATCCCTTTCCAGGTGCTGCAGAATGGGGCGATACGGTCTTGGAAAGGATGGGTGGGGTTTTCTAGCATGAGATAATGATTAGGAGAATATTCTATGGGCACCTTGACCAACTGGTCAAAACTGTCGCTTTAAGGTGGAGGGTTGAGAGGAAGTGAGCTGAGATCCTGACGTCTTCCATCTGGGGAACCTGGGCTTCTTCCTCTGGGGTTCATATGATCTCTGTGATGAGTGAGGCTTGAATGGTGGCTGGGAGCTGTATTTTCTTTTGTACCCAGGTGTATAGATCCCGAAGGATCAAAGAGTGGTTCTGGAATCTTTTAACGTGTTCAGGGAGGCGTTGGTCTTCTTGGTGAATAGCTTTATTCCTTCTAAAGGAAGATCCTCCACGGTCCATTGAACCTCCTTTGGGAAGCCAGATAGATGAAGCCACGAGGCCCTTCTCATCACAATGGCAGTAGATATTGAACATGCTGCCATGTTAGCTGCATCAAGTGCAAACTGGAGAGATGTCTTAGCCACCAGTTGGCCTTTGTTGACTATGGACTTAAATTGCTCCTTATGAGAATCGGAGAGCTACTCAATAAAACAACGGAGTTGTGCATAGTTCTGATAGTCATATTTTGCCAATAAGGCTTCATAGTTTGCATTGCAGAACTGGAGGGTGGCCGAGAAGTATGCTTTCCCGCCAAAAAGGTCCAGGTACTTCCAGTCCTGGTCATAAGGGGTGAATTTAAACTGGGGTTGGCGGCCCTTAGAATCAGCTGCATCCACAGTTATCAAATTGGGAGGCAGGTGAGAGAAGAGAAATTCCCTGTCTTTCACTGGCATGTAAAATTTCTTGTCAGCCTGCTTGCATGCCGGTGGGACAGATGTGGGGGTCTGCCATATGACCACGATGGGGTTTAGTAGTGCCTCATTAATAGGGAGGGCCACTCTGGAGGAGATGGAGGAATGTAAAATATCCACCAGCTTGTGGTGCGACTCTGTCATCTCTTGCAAAGGTATTTGTAGTGCTTCTGCCACTTTCTGTTCCAAGTCCTGGAACAGTTTAAAATCATCTGCCATAGATGGCAGAGGAGGCATCACCGTTTTATCTGGTGATGACGACAAGAAGTGGGCTTGAGGAGTAACTTCCTCCTCCACTTTGGCCTCCAGTTCCTTCTTTGCCAGTTCAGGGGGTTCAGAAGCCCTCGAGGCAGCAGCTGAAGGAGGGTGTTTCCTTGGTTGCTGGTAGGTCACACTAGAGGTAGCTGCCAAGGTTCCCAGTATGGCCATTGCAATAGGAAGGGGCCCGATGGTTGGTACCACGGCTGACCAAACCAGGGAGGCTATGGATCAGAGGGACGATATCCCTGCTGTTCCTATTGAAACTGGGCCCTATATGGTAGGTGAGAAGAGTGGCGGGAAACCATGTCCACTTGCTCACTTTCTGACTCTGACAACAAAAGGGATGGTGTGCGGCAGGAAGTCGTCAGAGAGTCAAGGGCTCTGGGTGATCTCGGTACTGGGACCCCAGTACTGAGCAGAGGCAAGTCCAATGCATCAGACACTGAAAGATCCATCGCACACTGGAAATATGGCAGTGCGAAGGGCGTCGGTACTGGCAGTGGTTGTCGGTTCCAAGAGGCTTCTACCAAAGGGGTTGGAGATGTGGACCCGATAGCGAGGTCTGTTGGTGCCTGGCGTACCATAAGTAGTACAGATGTTGATATCCATACTGATAGAGTCTTCCCCGGGGAAGATCTTCTATGTTTTTCGCACCCCCATGATACCGGTGCTTCCTTGCCTGTGCCCATTGGGACTTCAGGCAACCTGACTTCCTCTGTCAGTTCAGTACCACACATACCTTGGGTACCAGATTTAGATGGCTTTGGTGCCGTCGGTACCGATGATATTGTTTGAACCAGAGATCATTTTCATTGATCAGGGCTCACTATGGGGACTCACGGACCTTTTCTTAGAGGCCTTACGAGAATGGCTCATGGACATCTCCCTGGGGTCACCTCCCTTCGAAGTAGAGGGTTGTGGTGAGGGCTCCTGTCGGAACTCCAGAGGTTGGAGGGATAACTCTGTGAGTAGGAGTTTGAGCCTCAATTCTCTGTCATTCCTGGATCTGAGCTTCAGTTGCTGACACAAGCCACATTTTTGTGGAATTTGTTTCTCTCCCAGGCAGCGAACACATTGTGAGTGTCCATCAGTCACTGGGATAGATTCCTTGCAACTGAGGCACTTTTTGAAGCCCTGGGAGATGGGCATACCCTTTTCCAGGGGAGTCCCCCCCACACACAGGAAGACAGGGGCCTTTTCTTTTTTCTTTTTTTTTTTTTTTGGGGGGGGGGGGGGCAGCAACAAAATTAAATATAAATGAAATAAATAAAGAAAAAAGGCTTAGAGGGAAGCTAAAAATTAGAAATTCTAAAAGAGTTAACAATCCATGAACAGACAGCGATAGCTCCATCTCTAGCCAGGGGCAGTTGAGAAGGAACTGAGGAGGGTTTGCCTGCGCATACTGACTAGCCTCGTGGCAGCCGAGGAGCAGCTCATGGGCGGGCTGAACAGACACTGCTACCAAAGTTCTCCGATCAGCAGTGAAGGGATGTAGACACACCTACAGTGGAGCACCCATAGGGACCAGCGGCAGCTCCAGGCACCAGCGCACCAAGCGCGTGCCTTTGGCGGCATGTCTGCGGGAGGTCCACTGGTCCCGCGCCTTCAGCAGCAATTCGGCGGTAGGGACGCCGAAGCCGCGGGACCGGGGACCTCCTGCAGGCATGCCACTGAATCTGCGGGACCGGGGGCCTCCCGCAGGCGTGCCGCCAAAGGCAGCCTGCCTGCCGTGCTAGGGGTGGCAAAAAAGCTAGAGCCGCCCCTGATAAGGACACTACTCCAAGAAGAACTGGCGGTTCCCTTGACTCAAGAGGGGCCTGATATGGAAGGTGTGCACGTCTCGGTGCTCGGTACCAGCAGATTTGCCAGTCTATGTGATTTCTTATCCTGTTTGTGAGCCTTGGAATGCACTGCTTCTCCATGGCTGGAATTCATGGAAAGCGCATCATCCTTCGTAGGCCTGGAGGAAGACTTGCTGCTATGCTTATGCTCCTGCTTCCTTTCCTCCTGACTAGGCCCTGGCACGGGGTCCACAGTACTGGTATCGCCAGAATCAGACTTGATCTCTGTGGTTGGAGGCACCCTCCTGGGTTTCTCAGGCTGATGTAGGGAGGGCATCCCACAGCCTGGACCCAATGGCTGCCTCATGGCGACCTCCAAGAGGTGCTTCTTGATGCAGAGAGCCCTGTCTTCTCAGGTTGGGAAGGACAGGCAGATACTGCACCTGGATGACATGGACTTCTCCCAAGCAGTAGAGGCAGCATTGGTACTCATCGCTGACAGAGAAGGAACACGGGCAGGAGGCACAGATCTTGAACCTGGGCATCTTCGGCATAATGCAGGCATGGGTGCTGGGTTAGGGTACAGGAAACAACGCTTAAAACTACTACTAAACACTAAACTACAAATGTAAATGATAAAATAATACAAATGTACCTGTCAGTTCTATGTACGGTCAAAGGAAAGGGCCAAACACCTGACCAAGTACCCACAATTGACATTTTAAAAAATACTAGGTTAGCAAGTGCATTCTCGATCTGATATGTTTAGTATACTGAGTTGGATTTTGACATTTGTTAAGGAAGATAAGACATAAATGCAACTTACTGCTACAGCCTGGAGAAGGCAACCAGCCATTCTTTGTGCATTCAGCTGTATCTTGATCATTATTAATGTGAAATCCATGATTACATGTAATTATAAGGACATCACCATTCCTATACACGTTCCTTTGAGGTCTGAATCTACCATTAACCACTCCTGGAGGATCACAAACAATTTCTAACGAGAATGAGACAAATATATTTTACACATGAAAATAGGCCAGTAGGCTGTACAATCCATCAGCAATTATTGTGATTTATCTCTGAATAAAACATATGGAAATTGCATAGAGGGAACCTACTGTGCTCCCCTACTTTTACTGTAATGCTGTTTAAGAAGTTGCCAAATAGAATGTGGACGTACTGGTTTTTTATTCAGCAATACACACACCAGAGCTGTTCAAAATGTTTCATTCAAAACTGTTGCTTTTAAATGAGAAATGGTCTTTTTTCTAAACCAAATACTTTCACAAAAAAGTTTTGGTTGTTTGGTTTGGGTTTTTTGGTTTGAATTTTTCCAGTTTTTCATAAAAATTTTGAATGGTGTTGAAGGCTTTTTCCTCCACTTTTTCTTTTTATCATCTTTGTATAGTTACAAGTAGAAAAATCAAAGTTGGAGAAGTTTTCAAAATTTCCAGAGTGGAAAAAGGAAAAAGTGAGATGAAACCCTGGACATTATTCATTTATTTGCAGTAAGATGCAAAAAAAAAAAAAAAAAGGGGGGGGGGAAGATTGATGGGAAAAAACAACATTCAAAATATTGAAATTAAAATGTATATATTTTGTGGAAAAAAGAATTAAAATGAAAATTGCTCTATTTCAAACCCTGCAAAATGGTAAAACCATCAGATTGCAACACTTTTCACAAAACTGCTTCTTCATTTTTCATCCAGCTCTGGTAAATATGCTGTCTCTGGGCTGGTACCATAGAAATTTAAAGGACATCGTGTTATCCTGTAGTTACAAACTGTTACACCCAGCAGTTGACCATACCATCAGAGGCAGATTACCCTTTTGTGGGGCCCTGGGCCAAAGCAAGTGGGCCCCACCCCTTCCACCTGCAGTTACCCCCATCCAAGTAGATGCTCCTACCGGGGAGCAAGGTCAGGGTGCAGGGGCTTGCCCAGCTCTGCCCACTCAGTGCTCCTGCCAGGGAGCAGGGGTGGGGAAACGGGGACTTCCCCCACCCCCTGGCAGGAATGCTGGGTGGGCATTGCAGGACGGGGCACAGGGGCACCCATTTTTCCAGGGCCCCCCAATTGCTAATCCACCACTGCATACCATCTGTACACTGCTCCCACTCCCAGCACTTTCATACCCAATAGCGACAAACCAAGCTCCAGGCACAAACTCAGTTTTCCCATTATAGAGCCAAGTTCTGTTATTAAAAGCTGCTCCAAACACTGTGTTTCTGAGAAGGGCTCTGAGTACTGCCATTAAATACTCTCTGAATAGATTCAGAAACATCTGAAATAGCCTTAGATATGCCTAGTTACAGACAGTAACTCATTTACATTTTTAAAATTTTTATATGACAAATAAATGCCACTTGGTTATTAGATTAACTCGAGGGGGCAGAGTGGAGCAGGGAGAATTTACCTCACGGAGTCTATTAACCCCTGAAATGTAATTATCTTAACACAAATCCAGTCTGGAAGCCTTTCGCCTCTGCGAAATCAGAGCAAAGAAGCAGCTCTTTCACATTCACTTATTCCTATCATTGCAGAGTGCCTTCTACTGAAAGCAGGATATTTGAGATACCCACTAGAGCCCATCTCCACCTACCTTTGCATTCCGGATAGACAATTGGATTTCCATTGCACTGCACCATAAAAGTAGATTGAGATAAATTAGTTGCAAGTGCGTATCCTGGTTTGCAGTGAAGCTCAAGAAAATCACCACGTTTTAGGTACACCCATTGCAATATGTTCTCATTTGCAGTCCCATTCAACTCTACCATCCGGTTTTCCATTTCTTCCACTGAGATAGCACATGGCTCTAAAACAAGAAAAAGGTGAGGTTGTCTTGGTAGCCCCCCAGGTAAACACATTGAAGTAATGTGTTTATACAAGCGATGAGTCTGATTCAGTGAATCTCTACATAAACCTCAAAGCCTAA